TGTGTGTGTTCAGCATGGGACGATGACATCCAACACACCGCGCATCCAACGTGTTCAAGCATGTGGTGAATGTGTCTGACAACGTGCCACTGTGCAACATTAAGAGGAAAGAGAAGAGAGGAGGAAAAATGCGGCAAAGGTAAGCCGATGCCTTCGGCAATGACATCAGGTAGCGACTGGCTTACCTAAGGAGAAGAGAGAGAGAGAGAGAGAGTTGTTGAAGCAGTCGATGAAAGCGTGTAAAATGCCACACCAACGACGACTGCTAGATCTTAAAGCGCAATCGCTCAGTGATTTTCTTCAAACACTCCTTGCAACCTGATCACCCCCTCTAAAATAACATAATCTGACAATTTGGCCAGCAACGCCGACCGAAACCGGTCAGTGGGACCTCACGCCCCTGCCGGTTGCTGGTCTTGGCCGCCTCTGTGTGTGTGTGTGTGTGTGTGTGTGTGTGTGTGTGTGTGTGTGTGTGTGTGTGTGTGTGTGTGTGTGTGTGTGTGTGTGTGTGTGTGGGCCCCTCTCTCGACTTGATTCGAACCGGAATTCAACCTCGCCTCGAACGCTCTACCATTGGTCTAGTTTTGGCTCCTGCCCTGCAAGTTTTGGATTTGGGTGTGCGTCTTGACTGACGTGGACGGCCGCTGCATTCGCGTCTCGTCGACATCACGTCGTGGAGGAGCCCGAGCTTGCGTTGTCACAAGCGCTTCCTTGCATCGCACCCGGCAGCATGGCCGTCGCACCCGACCAAAAAAAGCAGCGCTACGATCGGCAGCTTCGGTAGGCCCCGCCCCGGTTATGAACGCTTGAACATCAAAGTGACGTACTCACTGTCGTGCGCCTGTCGCTGTGCCACCACTCGCCCCGCTGGCGTTGTTTCAAAGCCTCTGGGGCGACCATGGCCAAGAAGCCTTGGAGCGCGCTTCCATTTGCCTCATCAATGCCTCAGCGCTGGGCACCGAGCTTCTCAAGAATCTTGTCCTTCCAGGTATGCTCTTGTCCAGCCATCTCGACAGATGATCAAGGGCTGATACAACGCTGTCACCTCTGGCCCATGCAGCTATACTAACCTCACCCACACACCCGTACCACCTTGATCAGGCATTGGCTCCTTCACCATCCTGGACCCAGCAACGGTACAATCTTCAGACCTCGGATCCAAGTACGTCCCACAGGCATGCGGCCCTCACTTTTTTCATGCAGAGTCAAGTACAACCGACCAAAGGGATGGTTGGAAGGCCAGATTCCCCCCATCCCCCTCACCTTCATCTTGGCTACTCGTTGTACGCCTCCCCTTGCCTCCTTTCCTCTGTGGACTGCTTCACCTTGCAGCTTCTTTTTTACCGAGGAGGACATTGGCAAGGTGGACCCTCGCAACGACCCCTCTTGACCTTGACTTTGCTTGATCCCCGTCCACATTTGCTTTTAGCTCATCGCGGCTTGCCTATGGTGCTCTGCGTCTCAGAACCGTGGGGCTGCTGCGGCAGCCCTTATTGGCGAACTGAACCGCGAAGTGCGCGGAAATCATCGCGAAGAAGTGAGCTTGGTACCCTTGGCTCCATTCTTTGCCACAACATCCCCAGCCTCACTCCAGTGGCCGGGCTTCTCCATTGCCCTGCCCCCCCTTCACAGAGCGTTGAACACTTGGTTGACAATGATCCCGACTTTTTTCGGGCCTTTTCCGTGGTTGTGGCCACTCAAATGCCTTTTGCCCAACTGGCCTCACTCGCCCGGCTGCTGTGGAAGCTCAAGGTTCGGCTGCGTCCGCCCAACGCCCTCCTCCTCCTCCTCCTCCTCACTCAGTGCCAATTCTCCGTAACCAACTCTCACTCTCTTGTTTTCTGTGGGTGGCCAGATCCCCTTGCTGGTTGGGCGGGTGTACGGTCTGTTTGGATACCTACGACTGGCCGTGCCTGAGCACACCGTGATCGAGTCCCACCCAGACGATGCTTTACATGACCTGCGTCTGCTGCACCCCTTTCCCGCACTGGCCTCCTTTGCCAAGTCCATCGACCTCGAGGTACGCACTCCATGGCTTCCCTATCCATTCTCTTGCCAATTGGACAAGTCGTAGTCCTGCAGAATTCACCCAACTAAGCCACTTGACACGCGCAGGCCTTGGACTTGCAGCAGCATTCGCATGTTCCCTACCCCATCCTCATCTTAAAGTGTCTCCAGCAGTGGCAGGCCGACCATGAGGGAGCACTGCCCAGTTCCTATGCCCAACGCAAAGAAGTCAAGGCGCTTCTGGAACAAGCGCGACGACAACGCGCAGATGGACTTGGTCCCGAATCACAGACCAATTTTGACGAAGCCATCCAAGCCTGCAACACGGCACTCCTTCCCAGCGACGTTCGTGTCTCGATGAGCAATGCACATCAAATCAGCCAAGTCTTGACAGGACGGCCCGGTCCTCACCCTCTGGCCTCACAAACCTCACCACGTAGATTCCCTCGGACGTGGCTGCCATCATGGATCACCCAGCAGCGTCCACCTGTGACACGACGGTTCGTTCTGCCTGACAGGGTTTATGCATCCCATGAAGGCTCTCCCAAGCCTTTCATCCTGCCAAGTCTATTTGTGTGAGGTCCTCGCGCCACCAGGCTAACCTACGACCTTTTGGCCTGCTGCATAGACGTCAACATTTTGGATCTTGGTGCGTGCTTTGAAGCGTTTCGTCAACACACATGGTTCCTTGCCGCTACGAGGCTCTCTTCCCGATATTGAGACCGACACAGCCTCATACGTGCGCTTGCAAGAGGTGAGCAAGCGTCGTGTTGTTACTGAGTGGGCCGATTCGTCGATAGTTGAGCTTTGCACTTGAGCTATGATTCTGCTTGGGAAGCTGCGGTCTGTGAGAGGCATTTTGCTTGACAGCGTGACATGGGCGTTGGTTGTAGGCCTACAAGGCCCAAGCTGAGGCCGATAGGATAGAGATTGCAAATTACGTGGCCGAGGATCTCAAGATGGTGGGCCGGCCAACCACGGCCGTTCCTGAGGACACCATCAAGCTCTTTTGTACGTCAGGGTAGCCCTTCTTCTTAGAAAAGTCGGCCAACATTGGCTAGGTTAATGTGATTGTTATACATCAATAGGCAAAAATGCAGCCTTTCTGGCCGCCCTGACTTGTCGTTCACTGGAAGATGAAGCCCAAGCGCCCGAATCAAGCTTGCTCGGTATGCGCCTGTCGCGGCGACGCCCGGCAAGCGCAAGCGCAAGCTGTTGTGCGGAAAGTCCACATTGGTCACACACCTTCTTGCTCACCCTGCCATCTTTGATAGATCGTCAATTGGAGGAGCCCGATAATCATGCATTGTTCTACGTCTCGCTGCTGGCAGCAGATGACTTTTACTTTGGTCATGGCGCTTATCCGGGTATGCTGCTAGCAAAAAAACAACCCGCCTCCTTTTTGCTCCATCATGGCTCATTGCAAGATTGCTCACCCTGTCTGTGTCACTTGATGATTGCTTTTGAAATCAGGGACTCTGGCTTCGGATTTTACAGACGATATCTTGGATCTGACCAACAGTGCACAGGGAGTCCTCACGCGGCTGGGTCTCTCCGCCACTGTCAAGGATGACTTTATTCACGAGTTGTGAGTGGCTATGCTTCAGCTTCTTCTTTTTTTTTTTTTCTTCCCCTCCCCCTTTCTCGGCGTCTGCCTTTGTCGCTTTCAGTCGTTGGGGATGCTTGTGCAAAGCAAATCTGCGTCGCCTTTTCTAATGACTGTATTTCCATGTGGAACCAGCTGCCGTTATGGTGCTGCAGAGCTACACACGATCAGCGCCTACCTGGGTGGTGAGTGACGCACCCTTGATCTTGTGTGTCTTCTTCCTGACTATCGTCTCACAGAAAGGACCTCTGTGACTTCACGACAGGCATTGCCGCCCAAGAGGTCATCAAGTTGGTGACGCACCAATACGTGCCATTCAATAACACGCTCCTGTACGACGGCATGACCGGCCAGACGCGCTGCTACGTTCTGTAGCGAGTTGACACCCATAGCAGCAAGTCCATGTTGTGTCCTTTTTTTTGTATTTTTGAGAGAGGAAGCATGCACATGGGCTTGATCGTGTGTTTGGTGTGATCAATGTCAGCAAAACCAACTGGTAGCGCGTCGTCGTCATAAAGTGGGCGTTTTATTTCCCCACAAATTCACATGCACTCTGCACTGTGTGACTGTGTGTGA